TTTTTTTTTTTTTTTTTTTTTTTTTTTTTTTTTTTTTTTTTTTTTTTTTTTTATTGGCCAACAAAAGTATATTAAAAAAAAAAAAAAAGGACTAGAAGGAGTAAACTTACTGATTTCCAGCTGTCGTTGTATCCTGCCCTTACACCGTTCCCTGTAATCGGTCTGTGTCCGATTGTACTCCGTCATGACCTCGACGAACTTCCTGGATAACGTCGAGTGTTGGGTCTTGCGTATCCTCAGATCCGCCGAGGATTTGTTCGTGTGCTCGTCTTGCTCGATGTTTTGCTCTATCACTGCGATGATGATCGGGAAAAACAATCAAACTCGTTAGCCATCGTTCAAGAGGAAAAAAAAAAAAAAATACGTTACTTCATACAAAAGCAATGAACTCACCCTTTAACTTGGCTCTGGTTTTATTAGCAGTTTTCTTGATGTCGGCCATCAAGTCCTCGAGTTCCATTTTGACCTCTGCAACAGGCAAGCGTGTGGATCGATGAGATTAATGTAAAATTATTACAGTTTAAATATTTTTTAAAACAAGTATGACATAAAACATGTGGTTAACTGCGCGATGTACCATTTTTTAAGTTACGCCAAGTACACGTCGAGTAGCTAAAGCTCGAGGGAAAATTTTCATCGCTTTTCGGTGCAACAGCGTCAGGTGTGGACTCTTAGGGGGTGAATTTTTTATTATTAATGTAGGTCCTTTTCGTGATACCGGGGCATTTGTCCTGCCATACTGCATGGTGCGCAAAGTGTTGTAGAGTCATAATTTGTATTTTTTAACTCTCAAAGTTTTGATTGATTCTGCTGATCTGGAGGAATCGACGAATATTTTCATTAGCGATTTCCACGCTCGAGTGCCCTAAGGTTCACTCAATTCCAAATACCAGAAATTCCAGAAAAAATTCAAACGAATCGCAACCCTCTTATCAAAAGAGCAGTAAATATAGTCTCTTAAAACCACCGAGTGGGGGGGGGGGAGAGAATCGAGCGAGCGCAGCAGAAAAATCGGAGGGGGTACATAAGTAATCGGTCCTCGAGAATATTTTCCGCGCGATAAAACCTCCCTTCCTCTTTGCCTCGATCTCCGAATAATGTTTGATTTTTTTTTTTTTTTCTCGAGCGCGCGAGAATGTGGGGGAAAGAACTTTTTAACCCCATTCGTAAGAGCACAATAAGAAGAAGAAAACAGTCGAAATAACGGGTCGCAACGCAAGCGCAGCTGTCTGCGCATCTGCACCCTCGTTTCTCGCCTCGAGACGCGAGGAAGGCCTCCTCCATAGTGGGTCATCGACTCCACGGCTTTCTGGGTACTATGAACCAGCGCCACTAGCATCCCTCGCCCGACGACTTAATGCACGTCTCGAAAATTACTTGACGCGTTACACGTACACACACAGACTCCCTCCGCGCCACTCTCCAATCTCGCTTTGTCTTGTCTCACTTGCGCCGGCAGTAACATACGAGATGCACGAAGCTGGTGCTCCGGAGCAATTCGCGTGATTAAAAATTATCTTGCAACCTTTTCCGGCAAAATTTTCAATTAGCTCACTCCCGGGTGTCGCCCAACTTCACAGAAACCATCGCTGCTACGAGATACTACAAGATTCGGTGTTGAAAAAAAAAAAACCCTTTCAATAATTTGTTTCCCCCCCCCCCAAAAAAAGGTACAAGAGATAAAACAATCCGAGGTAGCGGCCCGCGGGCGTGAATCACGTATCGTAAGGGAGGAGATAACGACGACAGACATATATATACCCATGTAGCTCCCACGCGCATGTCTGACCATACGCCGAGCGTGACTACTACCCCCCGCCCGAAGTCTATACCTCCGACGCCACGTGCGTGCACGCTGCAATAACACTCGCGATGTAAGTACAGATGCAGGGCGTATTGCGTCACTCCGCGTACGAGAAGACAAACTACCCCCATACGTGTAACGAGCGCGTGAAAAACAGGGAGGTTTTATTGTAGAGCGAACGAGCTGTTTATCCCCCGTCGTCGGCATCACATTCTTTTTTTTTTTTGTCTTCTCCGGTTTAACCGTGCACCTGCTTTAATTTTCAACCCCGCCGAAGCGGACCCGGACGAGGAAATTAAAGACAATAAAACGACCGCGATCGAGAAAACTTTTCAAACCCCCTGACCCCTCGCGAGCGGGTATATAGGTACTCCCGGAGATCAGCCATGTGTATTTACATATGTATATGTTGGAGGCTCCGGTGGCGCGGGCCAAACGCGAAATTGCAACCGTCACAGAAACACCACTAATGATCCGGCTCTCGAGCTCTTTCGCCGCCCACACTCTCGATCTTGGGTAAATACAAGCGCACGGCTATCGACGCCTGCGATACTTTGGAATGTATATACATACGTACGTACGTATAAACGACTATTTGTACAAGGGAACATATTTGACTAACGATGTTTGCATTGAGTTGGAGGACTTATTTAAGGAATGTTTTTTGATGTTGTTGTTGTTGTTGTTGTTGTTGCTGCTACCGTTGGGGCAAGATTATTTTCGTGACTCTCGAGTCTTGGGAAAACACGACATAATGGACATACATGACATTTTTCGTATCTAGATGCGTATTGCATCAACAAAAGGGAGCCAAAATTTTTTTTTGTGTGTATAGCTATCATTTTTCCCTTTCGTATAAGAATGTCTCGTCCGGCTCGTCACAGCCAAGTAAGACAGAAAAAAAAAAACAAAAGAAACTATTATCTTCGATGTAAAAGCGGCATCGGTCGTCGTAAATGAAACTATACCTGCACCCACGCAAACAATCCGCCCCCTGCTCTTTGATCTCGTTACGCACATCCTCTTCCTTTCCCATGCGTTCGCACGCAGGCGTGCGCTATACTACGTTACACGCGCCTACGTCAGAGATCACCAGTATATATACATATAGAGTATATAAGCAAGGGCTGACCACCGACGCACACCCGAGTGAGATATAACCGCAGCGAACCACCCACGGGTGGGCTCAGAGAGATGCGCGTAGGCGTTGTAGCGGCGATGACGCGTGCGATACGCATACACGCACACACACTCACGCTCGGACCTGGTATCTATATGTATACCATATGTATACGCATCACACGCCTTCTCTCTCTCTCTCTCTCTCCCCCTCTCTTACTCATGAATGAACGATCGGAAATACCGGGCGTAGTATTATATCGTAGGACTATTCTAGGGTGGGAAAGAGAGACTCGGTGTAGCCGGAGCGTGGATGTTCTCGCAGGACGCGCGCGCCGCATCGACACGTCCAGCATCCTCCTCTCATACGACATGTATGCCTCTATCGATGCGGAGTTCATAGCTTTTTTTTTTCATCCCCTGATGTATCGCCGATGCAATCTCTTGCAAGAGCCGTGGGCCGAGATTCACGTGGGGGGATTCATGGGGAGTACCCGCGTGGGTGGCTCTATATGGAACGATCGCGTGGGCGTCGGAGATTGCGAACGGTTTAATGTAGTATATATAGGTTTGCAGCTGCAGAATTTTTTTTTTTTTTTTTTTTTCATCCTTTCAATTGTCATTAAATGGTTTTTAAGCGATCGTTGTTTGGAGGTTTTAATTTTCTGGTAAATAAAAAAATGACACGTACTTATCAACTGGGAATACAAGATTAGGCCTGAAAAAGAAGCCGGGCTGCGGGCAAACAAAAATTTCTCGATTACACGATAGTGATGCGATCTTATTCCTTTGTCCCGGCCTTAGCGGTGCGCGTATTCAATGGAGCACGCAATATTCGTAAAGCGGGAGAAGAAGAGTCGCGTTGGTACGCGCATATACATACACGGCACACACCCAAAGTACAATGCGCCGGCAGTTATAAGCCGACCATAAGCCATCCACGAGTGCCTTCACTGACGGAGAATAAGAAGAAGAAGAAGAGGAGAGCGACGCCGAAAAATGGCTATTACGTACCACTTACGTATGGGTGAGCTTTCCCATACAAGCACGCTTTTCTTTCGTGCGGCGTTATTAAGTTCGCTCCTGAGAATTGTTGGGAAGCACAGTGGGAGGGGGGGGGGAGAAGGATGATGGTAACGGCGTCGGAAGATCCTCGAGGATGATTCCGCTCGAGGGGGTGGTTAGGGGAGCTTTTAACGCGCTCGAGAGCGCTTTGCCACTGTGGGTAGTGGTCGCTGCTGTTTGAGCTTCCGACTTTTTTTCAGTGTCCGAAGCTACGGTCATAGCCGTTGAACTGCACTGTACGCCGCAAAATCGCTGTTGGACCTACTGTTTAAGTGAAAAAGTTCACGTGGACGAAGATATTGTTTTTTTTTTTTTTACCCACTCTACTGCAAAAGTATACATGTACGGAGGGTGTGAAAAAATATGCCCACCCTCTCGTTGTAATCTACTTTTCGTGATTATAATCAGAGAAACCTTTTTCATAAAAGAGAAAAAAAAGGAAAATCCCGAGAAAAATATTTTTTTAAATATTACACGACAATGACAGTGGGTTGTAATAATTAACATGAATCCTGCAATACTTTGGCGGTAAGCGAGTCTTTCGCTTGTTTTTGCTCATCAAGACGTACAGTCCAGCAGAAAAAATGATATCTCACTTGCAACCTCGAGGGAAAAAAAAAGAGTATACCTACAGTGTCCGCAAATTTCACGCGTTTAGGTATGTAGTGAAGCTTGGCACCGCTGCCAACGGCACTTTAGGCTCCACAGCTCCCGTCCACCAGCGTAATGGCACGAGTGCGACCGCTCATGCGATAGGTATATACACACACACATTCAGAGAAGGGGGGGGGCAACCAATTTTGAGTTTGTCCGCGACGGAGCCCTATCTCCTTCCCTTATTTCGCGAGCATAAAAAATGCCCCACCCTTTTTTTGATGACTCATCGCGATGCATTAAAGTCAAATTAGGTTACACGGGAGAACGAGTGTGTGCCCAGCGAGGGGGAGATTGTGAGATTCGCTTTATCCGCGTTCCGAATTAATAAAGAAACTTTTTACGTCGGCTCTCACTCGCCGCGGATGAGTTTTAAGATTAAATTTGCCGGGACCCATCATTGCGCGTAGGGCTGGGAAAAGAAAAGATTTCACGACTCGAAAAACTCGGCGGGTTGGAGTTGGGGGGAGGAAACGCTCGACGTTTTGTTCCCGCGGTGAGTCATGGGGATCGGTTCTGCCGAAATTCACGCATGAAAAAACAGGAACAACAACACCGGGCGTCATGTCCCGTGTGTGGCTGATGATTTAAAATTAATTCAATATACCCACTGGATGGATGCACTTGTTTGTTATCTGTCGGTGCGGGCCGATACATTCATTTCACGGATACGAGAGTGTATGTATTTAAATAAAAATACTCGAGCTGTAAAGTGCACCTTTTTCCATTGAAGTGTGCATGGTATAGTCGATTCATCATGAGTTTCGGAAAGTAAATAATTTTTTCGGCTAACATATACTTTGAAAAATTTTATTTGTATACCTAT